GTAACGAGCAGGCCTATTCACTGGCTGTGGAAAAGCTGCTTAATATCCAGCCTCCGCCCCGGGCCCAGTGGATCCGAGGTACCCCCCCCCCGTCTCCTTTGGGTGGCCCCCCCGGGGGCACGGCATGGTGCCCTTCCCCCGCCGTTCCCATCGTGGCAGCGTTGAACCCGGGCGTAGTGTGCAGAGCCCGCGTCCGCAGCGATCCCCTGGTCTTCCTCCCTCGGCAGTGCTGTTTGGAGAAATCACACGGCTTTTGAACCACATTATGGCTGTGACCACACACGCCCTGGACATTGGGGCTATGACCCCTTTCTTCTGGATGTTTGAAGAGAGGGAGAAGGTAAGAGGGGGAGGAAAGGGTGGGCCAGGCAGGGAGGCACAGGAAGCGGAGGAGGTACAACGGGGCCAAGAGATGAAAAGGAGACCGGACGCAGAGCGCGTGGAGGAAGAAGGTGCATTGAACGGGGGCCGTACTCTTCCGGGACTCGGCGTCAGGGGGGCTTGGTTGGGCGCACGAAGGCAGAGGGCAGGGGAGTGGGCCACAGTGTTGGTGGACTTAGGGGCCCTGGGGACTGTGTCATTAATTCCCAGTGTGTCCTGTCTAGATGTTTGAATTCTATGAGCGCGTGTCTGGGGCTCGGATGCATGCTGCCTACGTCCGGCCAGGAGGTGTGCATCAGGTGAGTGGACTCCCCTGCCTTCTTGAACTTTCCGTCCATGCCTGTATCGTCCGTGGCCACTGGAGGGCAGCCCTGGCTGACGGAAACTCCAGCCCTGGACGTTGGGGCGGGGAGGCTGAGCATACTCCGTCCTTCTCCATTTGGCCTCCAGGACCTACCCCTTGGGCTTATGGATGACATTTATGAGTTTTCTAAGAACTTCTCTCTTCGGATTGATGAGCTGGAAGAGGTAAGAGAGGAGCTGGTGGGAAAAGTCCCTTGTTTCCCCTCAAAAAGTCTTGTGAGTTTTGGTCCCTGGTTGTAAAGAAATCCAGAGGCGTTTGGAGGGAGGCCGGGGAGTTCACACACTAGTTTTCTTGATCAATAGATGCTGACCAACAACAGGATCTGGAAAAACCGGACAGTTGACATCGGGGTTGTGACAGCCGAAGACGCCCTGAACTATGGATTTAGGTGGAGGACTGACTTCTGTCCTTAGGGGGCGCCTGGGGGGGCTCAGTCAGCTCAGCGGCCAACCCGACTTTGGCTCCAGTCCTGATCTCATGGTCTGTGAGTTCGAGCCCCATGTTGGGCTCTGTGCTGACGGCGCGGAGCCTGCTTGGGATCTCCTCTCTCTCTGCCCCTTCCCTGTTCTTTTGCACACGCTCTTTCTCGTTCTCTCTCAAAATAAGTACTTAACAAAATTTTTTAAATACAAAAACAAAAAACAAAAAAGACTTCTCGGACACGGGGCAGTTCCTGCCTGGTATCTTGGCTTTGGGAAGGCGTGGCACCTTCCCCGCTGTGCTCTGGCATCCTGTGCGTGCCCAAACTGTGGGGGAGGGAAAGGGGAGACTGAGGAGGAAAGTGAGCCTCCTCTTTTGGTTTTGTGGACAATGACCCATGTCCCCATCATACTCCATAGCGGTGTGATGCTCCGTGGCTCAGGCATCCAGTGGGACCTGCGGAAGACCCAGCCCTATGACGTTTACGACCAGGTGGACTTTGATGTGCCTATTGGCTCTCGAGGGGACTGCTATGATAGGTGAGGCCATTTCCTTTCAGCTCGTTTCCCAGCTCTTTCCCCTGTCTGACTTTCCTTTTCTACTTTCTTTATTCCCATATTTTCCTATATCGGAGCTCTTGTGTCTGTTAAACAAGGTGGTTTTTTGAAGCACTTTCATGTGGGTGCATCTTATTTTGCCTTTTTTTTTTGTTTTTGTTTTTTTTTTAAATATTTTATTTATTTCTAGGAGAGAGAGAGCGTGAGCAGGGGAGGGTCAGAGAGAGAGGGAGTCACAGACTGAAACAGGCTCCAGGCTCTGAGCTGGCCGTCAGCACAGAGCCCGACGCGGGGCTCGAACCCACGAACTGCGAGATCATGACCTAAGCGAAAGTCGGACGCTTAACCGACTAAGCCACCCAGGCGCCCCCTTATTTTGCCTTTATTTATTCTCATGACTTAGATTTTTTTTAACATGTACTTATTTATTTGAAAAATTTTTTTGTTTGTTTTATTTCTGAGAGAGAGAGAGGCAGCATGAGCAGGGGAGGGTCAGAGAGAGAGAGAGACACAGAATCTGAAACAGGCTCCAGGTTCTGAGCTGTCAGCACAGAGCCCGACACGGGGCTTGAACCCACAAACCGTGAGATTATGACCCAAGCTGAAGTCGGCCGCCCAACTGACTGAGCCGCCCAACTGACTGAGCCACCCAGGCACCCCATTATTTTTGAGGGAGAGAGAGACAGAGCTTGAGCAGGGGAGGGGCAGAGAGAGAGGTAGACACAGAATCCGAACCAGGCTCTGGCCTCTGAGCTGTCAGCACAGAGCCCCTAGTGGCGCTCGAACCCACGAGCCACGAGATCATGACCCTAGCTGAAGTTGGACGCCCAACCGACTGAACCACCCAGGCGCCCCAATCCTCACGTCTTAGATGGACTAGTCTTGGCTGCATTTTACAGCTGAGGAAGCTGAGGCGTACAAGTGAGTGATCAGCCCGGGATTATCCTGTTAGTGGTGGTTGGGACTAGAACCCTCCCGACCCAGGGCTCTTCCCACCAGATTCTAAGAGTCACATTCCATTCTTGTTTGCTGACCCTGAAAAGATCTGCTTCTGTTTTCTTTGTGAGTCGATTTGACCCTTACCCGTTCCATGGTCCAAGAAGTGGCCAAGAGAGTAGTTAAAGAGGGAAGTGGTACAGGGCACGGTCTGGGAAGATCAGGAGGGGACATGGGGCAGGAGCCAAAACCAGACCCAGAAGACTGTAGGTTTTCCTCGGGGGCCAGGCCAAGCAGAGACGCCGCGCCAGGAGAAAAGAGGAAGGGGAAAGGCAGCCAGCGTTTTTTGGGTCAGCCCCGGGCGTCCCTCCCGGCCTCCCCGTCTGATGCCCTGACCAGCCCCCTCTCGCTCTGAGCCTGTCTCCTCCACTTCAGGTACCTGTGTCGGGTGGAGGAGATGCGCCAGTCCCTTCGAATCATCTTGCAGTGTCTCAACAAGATGCCTCCTGGGGAGATCAAGGTCGATGACGCCAAAGTGTCTCCGCCTAAGCGAGCAGAGATGAAGGTGGGCCCTGGGGAGAGGGCAAGGGGAACAGGGCCGCCCGCCAGGGAGGAGTAGCCTCAGATGACATCCTACCTGTCACGTTTCCTTTTTGAAAGAATTCGCCGTAGGAGTCATAAGCTCCCCTAGCCTCCCCTTTCCCTCTGGGTCTTCCCTGCTCGCTCACCGTGTCGGCTTTAGCCTCCCCAAGGCCAGAGGAGGTTTTCTGTGCTGGGGAAGGCCCGGCAGACCTTTGGCTCGGCTCACCAATGCTCCCTTTTCATCTTACCAGACTTCCATGGAGTCACTGATCCATCACTTTAAGCTGTATACAGAGGGCTACCAGGTCCCTCCGGGGGCCACGTACACCGCCATCGAGGCTCCTAAGGTGAGAGGAGACAGGGAAGGACCAGGCTGTCTGTGCACGGGGTGGGGGGGACCGGAGACAGATGCCCCAGCAGGTGCTTGGTCGCCAACGAGGGGGAGGACCCGTGGGCGAATTGGGAGGTTTTCTTGGCAGAGAAGAGCCTTCTTCCCGTTAACGGAGGCAGCGACCCTTCTTCCTTGAACAGGGGGAGTTCGGGGTGTACCTGGTGTCCGACGGCAGCAGCCGCCCCTACCGGTGCAAGATCAAGGCTCCTGGTTTTGCCCACCTGGTAAGAACCAACCCCAGTGACTCACTCTCCAGTAAATGGGTCTGTAATTCTCGACCCTGGTTGAGGTTTTCACGAACTTTCCTTCCTTCGCCCCCCCACCCTGCTAATCTTGCCTAACACTGTGGCCATCTCGATCTCTCCAGGCCGGTCTGGACAAGATGTCGAAGGGCCACATGCTGGCGGATGTCGTTGCCATCATAGGTACGAGGCCTGTCTGTAGCAGAGATGTCGTAGGCGAGGGGGTCCGGTACTCTAACCGGGGACAGAAGCCGGACACTTCCTGTTCAGCGTAGACCATGGGCATGGACCCAAATCCTCAATCCCCTGGGCACAGTGATGGGTGCTGGATTTTTGGGTAACACTGCTTTTTTCCTCCTCCCATTGATCTCTCAGGTACCCAAGATATTGTGTTCGGAGAAGTGGATCGGTGAGCAGGGGAGTAGCGTTTGATCTCCCTGCCTGTCTGCTTCCTCCTGGGAGCCGGGCCGTCGCTGGAAAGGGACTCTGTGTGTGTATGCGTGTGTGTACACGTGCGTGAACACTTCACCGTCAGGCTCTCCGTGCATGTACTAGAAAAGGAGAAATTATAATAAATTAGCCGCCTCCCGGCCCTGGTGCCCAAACTCCTGGAATGTCTTCCTCAGTACCTCCTGTCTTTCCCTTTGCTGGTAAACTCGAGAAATGTTCATCAACCCTCCACTTCTCTCTGACACTCAGTTCTTAGCAGTTTTTCCTGTTCATCGCCACCCCCTTCTGTGACTCTCGTCCTTCCCACTTCTCCATTCCCTGTTTCCTCTTTCCCCCTCGGTTCCCCCCGGCCCAAGCTTTGCTGCCTCCACGAACTGGTAAACCCCTCAGATCCAGACTGGGGTCGAGTTCCGCGTGCAAGGGCAGGGGCTATGGTGGGCTCTCAAGGAGTCTGAAGGGACAGTTTATTCCAGCTGGATCTGAACAGGGCAGGGAGCCGTGCCCCCTCAAGCGTGGGAGCCCCCCCCCCCCCTTTCCCCTGGTGGCAGGGGCTTCGTCACTGAAGGCCTGAGGGGTGAGAGCCCAGCCCGAACTCCCTTAGTTGGCCCTTCCGGGAGCCGCCCGGGCTCTGGTGCAGGAAGGGGAAGGGGCCGAAGCCGGGGGAAGGCGGGGCAGGAAGGGGGGAACTCTGTGGTCAGGGAGCCGCTCGCTGAGCACAGCTGCGCAGTGCTGGTCGCGCGTCCGATACCCAGCTCGCCGCCCTCAGCTCCTGCCCAAGATGATTCCAGCAGTGCTCTTGATCTTCCTCCTCTCGGTGGAACAAGCAGGTGAGAGGGTTTGGCGCGGGCACACAGCTGGGCTTGGGGGCGGCAGTCCCGGGCATGCGTCCCGGGGAACCGAGGCAGGGGCAGACGAGGGCTGGCCGGGGGGCGGGTGGCCGCAAGGCTTGGGTGGCCACCGAGACCTTGAGGCTGGTCCTGTCTGGTCCCCGGCAGAGCGGGAGAGCCCTGTTCCGTCCTTTCTGGTCTTGACTTTTCCAGGACTGGTAGTGGGTAAGGCTTCAGTTCGGCAGGGAATGGTTGTGCGACGTGAAGAGCCGGCCTGGGGAGGAGCGCCGCTCCCCGTGATCGCCATTTCCTGTGTGGTGTCGTTAGGCTGGTCCGCTGGGAGCCCCTCTCCAGCCGGTTCATACTATTTACAAAGGCCCTTGAGGAAGGCGGGAGCCGTCCTTCGGCTTGGGGGTGAGGCAGGGATAAGCAGAGCAGCCCCGCCCTCTGCCCTTGTGGGTCTTCACCTGCAGGGAGCGTTCTGCCCACGGCCGCCATGAGGGTGGGCAGCAGGCGGTGCGGGCTCTAGAGACCCGAGCACCAGCCCAGAAACGGGGGGCAGACGGGGGAAGGTCTCAGCAGCTCTAGGGCTCCCGCCACTCAGCCCCGGAACCGCCAGCTTTTGCTCGCTTTGGGCTGTCCGTGTGTATGTGTTTTGGAGAGGGTGGCCGCTGAGGGTCGCGGAGAAGGGGGTTAGTGGAACTTCAGGGAAATGGGAAATTGAAAGACTGGGGAGTCCAGCAGCCCAGCTGTGAAGCGGAGGGGGGATCCTGTGACCCCCCGCCACCAGCCTGCTGCCATGGGATGGGAACAGAGCAGGGGCACCGAGGCAGAGGGCGGGACGCGAGCTCCCACAGCAGAGAGCCCGGATTTGAGCTCCAGCTCTGGTCACTTCGCCCTCTGGCCCTGAAGGAGTTACTTAGCTCTTCCCAGCCTCAGTTTCGTCATTCTGTAAAATGGTGACCATGATGTCTCTCCCTCCCCCCCCCCCCCCCACTGTGGGGTAGTTTTGCGATTTATGCAATATTGTGTGAAAGAACATCAGGGCAAAGAAAGTTCTGCGCTGACCTCACTCGTGCCCACAAGCCTTTCAGATAGGGGCTGAGGGCAGACGGGCTGGTGCTCAGACCCTATTTGATTTTTTTTTTTTTTGGAGTTTTTATTTATTTTTGAGAGAGAGGGAGAGGAAAAGAGAGACAGGGTATGAGTAGGGGAGGGGCAGAAAGAGAGGGAGACAGAATCCAAAGCAGGCTCCCGGCTCTGAGCTGTCAACACGGCCCTGTCGGGCTCAAACCCACGAATCTTGAGGTTATAACCTGAGTCGAAGTCAGAAGCTGAACCAACTGAGCCACCCAGGTGCCCCCTTATTTGATTGATTTTTTTTTTAAGTTTATGTATTTATTTTGAGAGAGAGAGAATCCCAATCAGGTCCTACACCACGAGCTCAGAACCCCTTGTAGGACTCAAGCCCACGAACCGCGAGATCATGACCTGAGCCAAAATCGAGAATTGGAGGCTTAACTGACTGAGCCACCCGGGCACCCAGCTATTTGATTTTTTTGATTGCATAAAACTTCCTCTCCCTGTGGCCCGGGGTGAGTGAGTAACAGGGCAGAGTGTCCGGACCCGGAATCCAGCCTGTGGTCGTCCCGCCGAGCCTGGGCTAAGAGGCTCACCCGGCCGTGTGCGAAGCCATCGGGATCTCTGAGGCCTAGCGAAGCGGACACCTGTTTTTCCATTTTTAAGCGCCCTGTAGTGGGCCCCAGAGTGATGAGGCCGGGGCTCCCGGATAACCAATAAGTGAGCAATTGCCTTCCCTCCCTTCCCCGGCTCACATCCTTCCTGTCCAGCCCTCAGCCACAGGTCACAGGACTCAGCAGAGACACCCCTGTGGTTTCTTCAGTGAAATTTGTCACTGCCTGTCCCTCACCCTACCCCTCTGGGCTGAGGTTTTTGGTCTTAGCCCAGTGAACTCAGATAAGTCCCTTGAGGGTGGTGAAGTGCTCAGTGGGGCCTGAGGAACTGACAGTGCAGAACCAGAGGGCTGGGGGGCTGCGGGGTGGTCCCCAGCTCTTAGCACCTGTAGGTCGCCATCAAAGCAGAACCCTTCATACTTCCTGTCCCAGCCCTGCCCTAGCGCCAGGGAGACGCCTGTAGGCTGAGGCAAATAGGATCCAGGGAGGAAGATGGAGCGTGTCTCCTTGGAGGGCCCCGCCAGGCCCCGCCTACCTGCCACACCCCTTTCCCTTCTGTCCTCTGAGAGCCAGACCTTCCCTGATGCCCGTGACCCCTCGGGCACTCTCTATCCCCTCAGCCGCCCTCGGAGAGCCTCAGCTCTGCTATATCTTGGACGCCATCTTGTTCTTGTATGGTATTGTCCTCACCCTGCTCTACTGTCGACTCAAGGTAAGGCTGGGGGAGGGGTGGAGGGGTTGAGTCCTGGAAAGAGGCATGGGAAGGCCGCGTAGCAGGGCTTTGAGGAGAGGGACTAACGGGCTCCCCACAAAGTTAGGAGGGACGAGGTTGGGCCGCTGACTTTGCCTTTTCTAATGACCTTCCCCCTGCTCCATCCAGATCCAGGTGCGAAAGGCAGCAGTAGCCAGCTATGAGGTATGGAGCCTTCCACACACGGGGGTCAGTTTTACAGACTCCCAGCCTCGGGGTCTGCGGCCTCTGGGAGGGCATGAGTCTTGGGCGCCCATCTGTATGAGCTTCAGAGCCCCCGCCCCCACACCCTGTCACCTAGCCAAGTCACAAGTGAAATATTCGGCAGGTGACGCGGGAGAGTCAAGGGGAGGGTGACAATGCGTATGTGAGTTGTATGTGGGGTGCGTACGTGCATCTGTAGCCCTGTGGGCAGACGGCATTCATGCCCTGGGGTATCCGTGTGAGGCCCCGCCAGCCAGCCCTGGCCGGATACCTCACCGGGTGGGGAAGAAGATGGTGCGGGACCACGAAGGAGGTGCGGGTCTCTAATGCCTTGCCCCTTTTGCCTCCGCAGAAATCAGATGGCATTTACACGGTGAGTGACCCTGTCTCCCTCCACCGCAGTCCCAGGAAGTCAGCAGAAGAGGGGGGGACTTCGTGTGACTTTTGGAAGACATCGGGTCTGGCTGGGTGGGTGGGAGCCCTGACCATCCTCTGACCTCCACCCCCAGGGCCTGAGCACCCGGAACCAGGAGACTTATGAGACCTTGAAGCACGAGAAACCACCCCAGTAACTCTAGGACAGATGCCCTTGGCCGCACCCTTCTGCGCCTCTTCTCCTCCCAGCCCCCACGGTCGGCGTCACGCATGCGTCCCGTTAATGCCAGCTGACTCTACCTCTGCAATGACTCTGTGCCCCCCATTAATGGGCACCAGTGATTGTTCCTCCTTGTCGGAGACCTGTGCTCAGATGCTAGTCAGTAATGTTTATATTCTAGTCTCCCCTCCTTGCCCACCCTTCTCTTTCCCATCTCCAACTCTCACTTAACAATGACCAGAGGGGACCCCCAATAAAGCCTCCACAGACTGGGCTCCATTCGTTCATTTACCGTGTATTTATTCAGCCTCTACGGGGCACTAGGCTGGGTCCTGAAGATACCGTTTTTAAGTAAACAGCCCCTGACCTTATAGAGCTCACAGTCTAACAGACATCAGGGTGACCCTTGTCCTGTCAAGGGACAAAAGCTGACTGTGGCTGCCGGGGTTGGGGGGATGAGACCCCTGGCCTCAGGTTCTCTGGCACGGAACTCGAGCAGAGAGTGAAGTGTTGGGAATCGAGGCGTATTTAGAAACACTGGAACCCAAGAATGACACCTGCGTCCAGCTTGGCTTTCCGTGTCTGGCAACCGAGCCAAGGTTGGGTCGTGAAGCCTGGCCATCCAACCCGCGCCGGTCAGAGTGAGCTTCAGGGAGCAGCGGGGGGAGGGGGGGGCGAGCTCACGGTGCACACGCGCACGGGCGTTAGCTCAGCTGAAAAGCCAAAACCAAACATGCAGAATCACGATGTGATGAAGCCTTGGAAGGTTTATGGGAACAGCAGGTTTTCAGTGCATCTGGGGCAGGAGGGACCTTAAGAGGGCCAGGTAGGGGTGGGGGGTGGGTGAAGCGAAGGGGAACCAATTGGGTCTAGATGGAGGAAAGTCAGCTCCTCTGAGCATGTATGTAGGTGGATGGCTAAGGAGTGACCCTTGTCAGTGCCCTTCCTTTTTGTAGCTCTGCCAGGAGGCAGGATTTCCTGTGGTATCTGAATCCTGTCAGATGCTGCCAGTCCTATCTGCAACCCAGAAGCCCTGTCAGAATGGGTCTCGAGTCCCCAGGCCCACCCCTGGCAATCCCCTTGCTGGGGAAGACTTTGCCTAGTGACTCACACTACGCAATGTGTTTCCCAGTTTGCTTGCACTATTTGATCTGCTCAGCAACCCTGGGAGGGAATTCAGGCTCTTTGAAGTTAATTAACCTGTCCAAGGTCCTCTTGCAAGTGACAGACTGAGATCTCTTTGTCCCCGCGCATTTTTGCCACATGAGAGAATAGAAACTGGGAAGGGAAAGGGAGGAAATTGATCATGAGTGGTGGGGGCCTCGAAGGCCAGACTGAAAAGGCTGATCAATCCACAGAAGAAATCGGAACCGTCACTGGTGTCTGGGGAAAGTAACCTCAGATGAGATACGCAAAATGAGCCATGGCCCGAAGGTGACTGTTTTAAACGTAAAGTACGAATGAAGTTTTGTTGGAACATGCGTACTTTTCATCGCCCTGCATTTTGGTGCTGTGAGTCTCCCACGCCAGCCCAGCCTGATTTGCATTCCATTTTGATTTAATCCAGGAAACCTTAGCCGGCTATCACATCTACGAGTTTCAGTTCTGGCTACCTGGCCAGTTCTGTGAACGGCACCCAGATGATAGTGGGAGAGAGGTTTGGAATGGCTGTTCCCCAGACTGGGGGTCAGGTGAGAGATTTTCAACGGAAGGATGTGAGCCTTTGCGGGGAAGAGGAGTGAATCTGAGTCTTCCCTGTGGGAATATTCCCCTGGCTCAGAAGAGAAGGGAAGGTCTTGGGTGACGCCTCTGGGTTCATTTTTGGGAAGCTGTCTCTTCTTCATAGAATGATCAAGAGGAAGTTCTGGCGGGGGCAGGGGGGCAGTGCCCTCCTTTCCTGTGACCTCGAGGAGGCTCGGGACTCAGTTTGTGAATCTTTCCTGCCTTTCACTGTCCCTTGTGCAATGCAGAGACTCTTGTCTCTGCTGCAAAGTAGTTCCCAGGCTTGTGGGCAGATGGCGTCGGGCATGGAGAAGAACCCCAGACACCGTGCCCCCATGGTCTCCGTCATTTGTCTCTTCAGTTCTCCCTCCGCTCCTCTCACCGAACCCTTCTCCCAGTGGGAGCAGATCTCTCTGGTCTCCCCTCACCGATTCCCCGACTTCTCCCGGTCTCCCAAAGCACCAGGCTCACAACTGACTCCTTCGATATTTATTGTAGAAAACAAGGGGTGGGTTGGGAGAGGGCTCTAGGCCTGGCCAGTGGCTGTTCCAGGGCCCAGTTGGGAATGGAGGACAATGGTCTGGACGCCTCATTGGGTGGCAGGCTGTGTTTTGAGGTCCATGAAATTGCTCAAGAAGTTAATCAGATCCGTTCCAGCCTTCTTGACCAGGGGCGTGAGCTGCTCCTGTGTCTTCTCGAAGTAAGCCCTGTGTATTCAGAGGATTAGAGGTCAGTGTGAGAGACCTGAAGCGCCGGCAGGGGCCGTGGTGGTGGTGGTGGGAGGCAAGACCCAGCTCCCCAGACTTTAGTGCCTGGTCCATCCTGTCTTGACCGCCACACTCCTAGGAGGAGAGACAAGCCCTTCGCTGGGCAGAGGAACAGACCCTAGAGATCAAAATTCAAAGCCTGGCTCCCCCTGGCCCCATCTGTCTGTGAGATCCATGGGATCTATGAGGTGGTGAAGAAATTTTTCTGTCGACTTAAACCTCCTCTTCCCTAACCCCCACCCTTGAGCTCAGTCTTCTTTGCAACTTTCCATCTTCCCTTCTTTCTCTCTATAGCTCCCTGGTTCCTGAATCTCTTTCTTTTCTTCTTCTTCTTTTCTTTTTCCTTTCCTTTCCTTTCCTTTCCTTTCCTTTCCTTTCCTTTCCTTTCCTTTCCTTTCCTTTCCTTTCCTTTCCTCTTTCCTTTCCTTTTTAAGATTTTATTTTTAAGCAATCTCTACACCCATTGTGGGGCCTGAACTCACAATCCAGAGACCAAGAGTTGCACGCTCCACTGGCTTATTCGGCCAGGTGGCCCCTGAGCCCCTTTCACTGAAACTTACTTTGCCTGGGCCTGGAGCTCTGGGCCCTTGGCCTTCTCCACCAAGTCCTTGCCATAGTCGGTCACCGTCTGGAAGTACTGAGCGACCAGTCTCTGCAGACTCTGCTCCTCCGCCTGTCTCCGCACCAAAGCCCCTGCACATCCGTGGAAACACACACACACACACACACACACACACACACACACACACATCTTCTTAGCTGGATACCCAACAATGAGTCTAGGCCTCCAGCTATACCTCTGTCAGCAGCCAGCCCCAGCTCGCACGCCCCTCCCCAAACAGGCACCCAGCACCAGGAGCTTTAGAGGGGGACCCATCTATCTTTAGAGCTCTCTGGTTGCTAGAGCTGGGCACACGAGCGCAGACAGATGGGTGGCTAGGATGCCCAGCACCTTCTCCTTCTTGGGACCCCTCTCCATACCACACCCACCTTCAAGGCTACAGATGGTCAGGAGCAGCACAGTCATTGCAAGCAGCTTCATGGTGGAGACAGTGGGGAAGGTGGCCTGGAAACAGTTGGGAGTGAAACGAAAGTTTCATTCGGCTTCAGCCCCTCCCCAGAGACCCCTATCTAGGTACCCACTCCAACCTGGTTCCCTCCCTTCCCACAACTAAAACCTGGTCTTTGGACCCCCGCCGCACCGCTCGCTCCCTTACCCTACCTAGTCAGCGTGTGTATCCCTGCTGTCTGTGTCTGCTGACTGGGGAGACAGGGGTTATATATATTTCTGCTTCCACCCTCCTCCCACCCCTCCCCTGTCAGGTGATAAGGACTATGGAAGGGCCCCATGGGGCAGGGGCCATGTTGAAGTAAACAAGTCAGAGAAATGGGGGAGGAGAGGACAAGCACACGCAGGGGACTCATGGTGATGAGGTGGGGGGTGGGGAGGCCGGCCTTAGTGAGGCCAAGGGGATATACTTCGGGCTGATTCAACATTCACTCTTTTGGGGTCTGGGGCTGGCAGTCTTTGGACCTGAATGCTGCAGGGGGGCGCCTGGATGGCTCGGTTGGGTGGGTGCCCGACTTTGGCTCAGGTCTTGATCTTGTGGCTTGTGGTTCGAGTCCCGTGTCGGGCTCTATGCTGACAACTCAGAGCCTGGAGCCTGCTTCAGATTCCGTGTCTCCATCTCTCTCTGACCCTCCCTCACTTGTGCTCTGTCTCTCTCTTTCAAAGATAAACATTAAAAAAAAAAATACTGCAGGAAGCTAGAAAAATTCCTAGTTTTCCTCTGGGAAGCCCTGATGTATCAAGCCCTCAGCTCGTTGGTAACATTGTCCCATTGTGGGTAGATTTTATCTCCCCAGCTTCACCCTCTTCACTGTAACTTGGCAGACAGGTATTGGGAACAGAAGAAAGGAGAAAGGAGTAGAAATCAGGTGATAGGGTGAGGGGAAAGAGGATTAGGAGAATCCTGGTTAGGGCCAGAGGGCAGGTAAGATTACATCTTTCCCCTGTTTGGTTAATGTGTAATGAGATGGGGGAGAAAACAGGAGAGCCTGGAATGACCCTCCTGAGTGCTGATAAATGAGGACACCCTACTCCCAAGAAAACAAATTCAGAAAGTCGCCTCTGCCTTCCCCTTCCCAATTGGCAGGCTCTGGCAAGAAAGGAAGTGAACGCGAGTCCTCTACCAAGGGTAAAGGTTGAGGTTCCCTGGTCATTCTAAAGTGGTGGTCAGCCAGTATGAGTCAGCAGAGACCACAGCATCCCTCTGACCTAGGCCCCAGCCCTGTGCCAGCCCTGACTGTGAGGGAGGACAGAGGTCCATTCTCCAAGCCCAAGGTATTTGCGTGACATCAGCTAAATAGATATCAGAAGCATTTGTATCTTTTACCCTTTTACCCTCAAAGTGTACATAGCACATTCTAGAGAGGAGGGGATGGAGATGTGAGGGCTAGTGGGGGAAGCGACCAGGGGCCCCAAACTCTTACTCCATCTTCAATTATTCCTCTGTGGAGTGCTTAGTACTTGAAGAGCGCCCCGTGGACTGTCCCTGCCTGTGGAGTGGAGTGCATTTGGGGACCAAGAGCCCATATTCCTAGATTTTATTTGTCAACCATACCTGGACAATGGGGGGAGGATTAGCCCAAACCTTAAGCAGCTGTTTCAGGGAATAGTTGTTGTTTGTTTGTTTTTTTAAATTTTAAATGTTTTTCTGGGCGCCTGGGTGGCTCAGTTGGTTGAGTGTCCTACTTCGGCTCAGGTCATGATCTCATGGCTTGTGGGTTCGAGCCCCGCATCAGGCTCTGTGCTGAGCGTTTGCTCAGACCTGGAGCCTGTTTCTGATTCTGTGTCTCCTCTCCTCCCCTCACACTCTGTCTCACTCTGTCTCTCAAAAATAAAATAAATATAAACAAAAAAAACCGTTTTATTTGTTTTTTGAAAGAGAGAGAGAGAGAGAGAGAGAGAGAGAGAGAGATTGAGAATGAGAGCGGGGGAGGGCCGGAGAGAGAGGGAGACACAGAATCTGAAGCAGGCTCCAGGCTCGGAGCTGTCAGCACAAAGCTCTACGGGGGCCTCGAACTCACCGACTGTGGGATCGTGGCCTGAGCCCAAGACGGACGCCTAACTCAGGGAATAGTTTCGTTAGTCCTAAGGCTGCAGCCCCAGCTCCTTCTACCGCACCTCCCACCCATTTCCCTTCCACCAAGAGACCTAGAAGGTGAACTTTGAAGTGTAGACCTCCAGGTGTGGGGCCGTGTCCTAGGGAGAGCTGTACTCGCAAGTAGTACTCATCTGGAGGGACACTGGGTACTGTGCTGAACTGGGGAGGGCTGTGAGGAGACCCTAGGGGTTCGAGGTGGGGGCACCCAGGAGCCATATGAACCAGGGTCCGAATGAAGTCTTCACAACCATTCCGTCTGCCGCCCTTCACAAAACGGGTGACCAGGCTGTTCAGTGTCAAGTGGCCCAAGTTCCAAGATGCTCCCTCTAGTGTCTTGTACGTTCACAGCTTTTTCCCGACCTTGTAGAGGCCGGGAGATCTAGGGCCATCCACTTGAGTAAGTCTGAGGAGCTACCAATCCAGTCCCGCCCCCCTCTGCAGCGCCTGGGTCAGAGCTCTCTGGACCTGAGTCTGCCACTCCTTTGCTTCCTCCTCTCCCATTGGCCCCTGGGAGAGGGAGGCCGCTTTATTTTACCGATGGGGCGGGGCCCATCCAAGGGAGGGTCGGATCTTTGCTGTCTTTTTTTTGCCCGAATCTAAGATGGCGCGGATGACTACGCTGGGAATGCAGCGTGAAGCCGCAGTTCTGCCATCACTCAAGATGGCTGCCCCCATCAAGATGACCGGGGTGTGCCGGGGGAAAAGGGGCAGCATGATAGTCTGAGACGGTAAGAACTATTGCTTCATTGCAAGCCTCGCCTTGGGGCCTAGGAATGAAGAGCGGAAAGCCTGGGAAGCTGGGTGAGGTCTCTGTGGGAGCTCGGATTAGAGAATGGGGGAGGGGAGGGGTGACAGGTGGGGATGAAGGATCAAAGATGGGACGGGAGTGTGTCTGGGGTTCAATCTCCCCACCGGTGCCCTCTCCCCACTCTTCCTGTTCCAGGTCTAGCGTCGGACCATGTGGAAGTTTCTGGGACTGGGGAGTCGGATGATGGGGGGTGGGGCCCGTGGGGGGTAGAGGGAGCAATAGCGTCCTTTCTCAGGCTAACCCCGGCCCCTCCCCTGTCCTCTGGACTGAAATGGGGAACACACTGGGCCTGGCACCGATGGGGGCTTTGCCCCGCCGGAGCCCCCGGCGAGAGGAACCTCTGCCCAACCCTGGGAGCTTCGATGAACTGCACCGGCTATGCAAAGGTGAGAACTTGGCATTTGGGTGTCTCACGTTGAAGGGGCAGAGCAGGGGAGGGTCCTGAACGCTGGGCGTCCAGTGATGGGAGCAGGAAAAGGGAGATCCCAGCTGGGGCATCCAGCCTCTGGGAGGATCGGTGCCTGAACATTTCGTGGAAAGGAGGTCAGTTCCTCCAAAGTGCTTCCTATGGGATTGAAAGGGGAGACTGACTTCCTGGGGTAGGGGTTCCTTGTCTGTGCTTATTCCTCCCCTTTCCCTCCCCTCCACCCCCTTCAGATGTGTTCCCAGCACAGATGGAGGGAGTGAAGCTCGTTGTCAACAAGGTTCTGAGCAGCCATTTCCAGGTGCTCCCACTTCTCTGGCCCTCCTTACTATTCCTCCCTGCCCATCCCTGCACCCTCTCCCCCTTGCCTTTGTACCCAAGGCTTCACCAGGCTATACGGGACAGATGAGGGAGGATGTGGGGCTCTCCCTACTTCCCTTGCCTGTGGGACTTGTTGCTTTCAGTCTGGTGATGGGTATGTTGGAGTCTTTGGGATTCTTTTTTTTAAATTTATTTCTAGGAGAGAGAGAGAGAGACAGCATGAGCGGGGGAGGGTCAGAGAGAGAGGGAGTCACAGACTGAAACAGGCTCCAGGCTCTGAGCTGGCAGTCAGCACAGAGCCCGACGCGGGGCTCGAACCCACGAACCGCAAGATCATGACCTAAGCCAAAGTCGGACGCTTAACCGACTAAGCCACCCAGGCGCCCCGGAGTCTTTGGGATTCTTAAAAGCCCTTCTGGCTGGGGAGAAGCCTGGGGGCTTGAAATTGTCAGGACTGCTTCCCTCCATTGACTTCTCTCCCCTCAGGTGGCTCACACCGTGCATATGAGTGCCCTGGGCTTGCCAGGCTATCACCTCCACGCGGCCTATGCAGGGGACTGGCAACTTAGCCCCACCGAGGTGAGGTCTCCTCACACCTGGGTCATCTCCCTGAAAGCCCACCTGCGGGATTCGGGTCTAGAGGAGGAGGAAATGTGTGTGTTGTGGGGAAGAGTGTTCAGGGCACCTGCCTCTCTGCCTTTCCTCTGAATGGGAGGGAGGGAGGAATCGTTTGTGCGACGAGCGGGAGTCTGTCTCTGTGGCTCCACTAGGGGGCGCTGGGTACTGTTAAAGAAATCCTAGCTGGTTGGACGGAAGAGGAGCGGTCCGCGCGCCCCCCCAGCTCGGTCTGACTGTGCACGCTCTTCAACAGGTGTTCCCCACTGTGGTGGGCGACGTGGACAGCAGTGGCAGCCTCAACGCCCAGCTCCTGCTCCTCCTGGCAGAGCGGCTCCGAGCCAAGGCGGTCTTCCAGGTGACCCGTGGCCCCGCCTCCATCCGCTGGAGCGGTCCCCCTTCTCCTCCACGGGTGTCCTGCTCTGGGGGCTCCAGGGAGAGGAGCAGAGGCGATAGCGATCGTAAAGCAGGAGGAAGGTCTCACTCCGTGTTCTCCCTGCTCCAGACGCAGCAGGCCAAGTTCCTGACGTGGCAGTTTGATGGCGAGTATCGGGGAGATGACTACACAGCTACTCTGACCCTAGGGAATCCTGACCTGATTGGGGAATCGGGTGAGGAACTGGGACGGGTCCTTTTTATCCGGGCTGCTCACTTGCTAATGTTGGCTCTGCCTGCCCATCGTCTGTACAGTTCAGGGGCTAGAAGGTTCTCGGGCGGGCTGGGGCGGCGGAGCAGGCCTGGGTGTGGTCCCTGTGACTGATTCCGTGTCTCTCTGCTACCCCTCAGTGATCGTGGTCGCTCACTTTCTGCAGAGCCTCACCCACCGGCTGGTGCTGGGAGGAGAGCTAGTGTATCACCGGCGGCCGGGCGAAGAGGGCGCCATCTTGACACTGGCTGGGAAGTACTCGGGTATGGGGTGAGGGGGGGACAGCGACGGGGCGGGGGAAAGCCTGACCTTGGCGAGGGCTCCGGGCCTGCGTCCGGCTACAGTAACGCTCCTCGTCTCCTCTCCTTTGGTTTTGACAGCCTTGCACTGGGTGGCCACATTGAATGTGGGATCAGGTGGGGCCCATGCAAGTTATTACCACAGGGCCAACGAACAGGTGAGATCACCAACCCCGTTTCCCCGCCCCCAGCAAGTCAGTCGTGAACTTTGACCCCTCCAGAGCACCACAGGCCCTGCGGGCCTGCTGTTCTTCCTACTCACACTGCAGAGGTGTCCCTGCGAGCCTTCCTCCTGCGGGTCCCTTGTCAGGGCTCCTGGAGGCCTCACTGAGACAGATCCTTCTCCCACCCTTGCCCTGCTGCTCAGGTTCAGGTCGGAGTGGAATTTGAGGCAAACACAAGGCTACAAGACACAACCTTCTCCTTTGGTTACCACCTGACTCTGCCCCAGGCCAATATGGTGTTTAGAGGTGAGGGTTATTTGGACGGCATTCGCAGGTGCTGGGGGGCTTGGGGGCACCGAGGGAGGGAAGGTCCGCCTTACTTCTGCCCCTTTCTGCAAGCCTGTTAAATAACCCAGTCCAGGGGCACCTGGGGGGCTCAGTCGGTGAAGCATCCGACTTCGGCTCAGGTCGTGATCTCGGGGTTCTTGAGTTCGAGTCCCGCATCGGGCTCTGTGCTGACAGCTCAGAGCCTGGAGCCTGCTTCCGATTCTGTGTCTCCCTCTCTCTTTGCCCCTCCCCCCCCCTCTCTCTCAAAAATAAACACTAAGAAAAATTAAAAAAAAATAACGCGGTCTACATTCCGTTCCCCCACAGGCTTGGTGGACAGTAACTGGTGTGTGGGTGCTGTGCTGGAGAAGAAGATGCCCCCCTTGCCTGTCACCCTAGCCCTGGGAGCCTTCCTCAACCACTGGCGCAACAGATTCCATTGTGGCTTCAGCATCACTGTGGGCTGAGGTTGACCCAGGGCCAGCGCCCAGCAAAGCTGGAGGCTCTGAGTCAGGTGCCCTGGGGCCAGAGACCTGGCCCCTCCCCAGAGCCCACCCGGCTAGGTGACCTCTAGGTCCCAGGAGCAGAGTGGGCGACAGGACCGCGCCCTCCTCAGAACTGGGGCTGCCGCAGGGGCAGCTGCTGAGGCGGTGGTGTGAGGCTCCTCCCTTTGCCACCAGCCCCGGTGTCCCCTTCCTGTGCTCTCGTGGCTCTGGACCCAGGGAGGAGGACGAAGGGGAATGTCTGGCTGACTTCTCTCCCCTCCCCCCCCCCGCCCCTTCTACATCTCCCTGTCGATGAAAGCTCCTAGCTTCTTCCTCTTCAGAGCAGAAAAGTCTGCATGGGATTAGCTCCCCACCCTGTTTTCCATCCCAGAGTCTCCCGGGGCTGGGAAAGAAGGGCTGAAGGGCTAACTCTGTGACCTCGGAAAGTGGGCCCCCCTCAAGTCCCGGAAGGAGCTTCTTTTACCTCTTCGCCCTGAGGCTTCCTCCTTCCTCATCTTCTGTGCTTCCAGAGACCAACTTTGTCCCCGTGGTCATCCCCCACTGCCCCCGAGACTGCATGAAGAGGCAGTTATTGTTTAGTCTTTCATTGCAGCCACTGGGCTCCCTTTCTACTGGCCCCAACCTCTGGCCCCGGCGTTTCCCCCTCTACAGTCCCGTGTGTCCAGATGGGCTGGGGCCTCAGCTGCAGATCTCCTGGAGCAGTGGCATCATGGATAGCAGTCCCTGGATGTGCTGGATTTGGTACCCAAATGCGTTGTTAATGCTCCGGAGCTCGGCCAGCAGTCCCAGTAGCTTTGCATACAGAAACCTTTGGGGGAGACGGTGGGGTCACCAGGGAAAGACGAGGAAAGGAAGGTGGCTGAGAGTCTTGCCCTGAGGCCCCGAGCCCCTGAACTGTCTCTCAGCGAAGCCAGGTCTGACCGCTAGAGAAAACCATGGTCTGGCAGGACAGATTTTTCCAGAATTCCAAAGGTCCCCCAGGGGAGCCCCCTGACACTTTCTTCTCTCACCATGCCATATTTCTTGAACCCAGAGGTCTGAGGGCCACGTGTGAAGAAAGCCCCAGACGTGGCCAGAACTTCAACGGTGTGGAATCTGTGGATCGGGTCTTCTAGAGTAGGTTCTAGAAGGTGGGTGTGTCCTATGGTATAAAGCATCCCTCTTCTGGCCAAACTGGCTTACTGAGGAACATACGAGAACAAGTGGAGTATACCTCAGAGCCTGAATAGATCATGGACTTTTGGGCCAGGGGACCGGTTTGGGCCATGAAACTGAATGACCATGACTTCACGGGGAATGAAAACTTAAAGGAATGGGCCCAATGGAGAGGAAGGGGAGGGCCAAGGAAGGAGAGCGCATGAGTCTTGGCAGGCTGCTTTAGCCTGGAGAGTTGGATGGGCGAGGTGGGGGATGTCATCAATCTCAGGAATGCTGTTACACAGAGCCTGTGAGCTACCACTTTGCGTCTCTACTGAATAAAAAAAAAATCTGGAAAAAAATCAGATGAAACCAGCAGTAAGAGCAATTTGGACGCCAGAACTCTATGAGGCATGAGGGAAGGACTGGAGCCCCCGAGGGACCTGGTTTCCCAGGGGAAGGGACAGGAGAAGCATTTTCCTAGAGCTCAGTGTTTCCCTCACCTTCCTGCCCTGGTGCAGCCTCCAAGCCCCCAGGTCCCCCCCGCCCAATACCGATTCCCAGGCCTTGGCTGTTGGCCTTCGATGTAGCTGTGCAGGGTCAGCGCCGTCACCTCTTGCAGATGATCAATCTCCTCCCTCTGGGTAACCCCAGGCCTGTCTGTAAGAAGGGGGACAGGGAAGGACAGGTCGGGTCAGGCGTGCGCCCACAACGTCGAATGGGTGCAGTCTGGGTTTGAAGACAAAGCCTGGCTTGTGGGTGGATTCGCAGGGCTGGGAGTTTGGCCAGGGGTGGAGGAGCAAAAGTTTCTGGGCTTTGGGGGTGCTCACCGGGAGAGAAGAGGGCCATGGCAGCCATGAGCACATACTCGGGCTCCTGAAGCTGTAGTCGCCTCAGTGTCCCATGGAAGCGAAAGAGCAACTCTAAAAACTGTTCCTGGAAGCCCACTGTGGGAGACAGCAGGCTCAGGATCCTTCAGGTCACCTTGCTGCACACCTTACCTCAAAGGACACGTGCCCTCTGCAGCCCTAGCACCATCTCACCATGGGCTCCATCTTCTATCGTGTAGCGGAGCGGCCCACAGAGGAAGTTTTGTGTTTGGAGACAGAAAGTGGTGTTGAGTGCAATATGACAGATCTCTATAGCCGCTCCCTTGAGAAGGGAGATCTGGTCCTCCATGGGCAGGGACCTGTGGGCGGCAGGAGATGAGAGCACTTTATTTATTAAAAAAAGTTTTTTTGATACCCATTTATTTTTGAGAGAGAGAGAGACAGCCAGAGCATGAGTAGGGGGCAGAGGCAGAGAGAGAAGGAGACAGAATCCGAAGCAGGCTCCGGGCTCTGAACTGTCAGCACAGAGACTGACATGGGGCTCGAACTCATGAACCGTGAGATCATGACCTGAGCCGAAGTCGGACGCTTAGCTGACTGAGCCACCCAGATGCCCCGAGAGCACTTTAGACTCTACCCTGAACTACAGAGAAGGAGAGGAGTCCGGTTCTAATTGAGATACTTAAAAACAAAGCAGGGAATTGGAAAGGATGCAGGATGGGTTAGGGGGCCAGTGACTCTTGCGTGTTTGTCTTTGGTGTGTGTGTGGCGATTGTAATTTCCTGCAGTGTTTTCTTCCTGAAAGGTAAGGGGAGGTCATGTACCGGAAGAGGGGCAGATCCTTGGTGAACTTGATGACTTGCTGCACCATGAAAGTGTTGATCTCTGCGAAGTGCATGAGCAGAGGCGGTACAGGGATCGAGATGGGCAAATGCTGGTGGTGGACGAACAGATGAGCTGGAGGCTGCAGAGATCAGAGCCTCAGTGAGAAGCGCTGCTCCTAAGGATCTCCATTAGGCCTCTCCAGCCCCGTCCTGGAAGGGTTCTGGGCTGAGGCATCTGTCTACACTGCGGTTCTAGAGAAGTCTTGTCTTCTGTATTGGTGCCTGGGACGCAGCCCCCTCCCTCCCTTAGGTCAGCCCCCCAGGGCACCCCTTTCGGTCACATTCCAGCCCAAAGCCTATCAGCGCTCACCCTGAACTGCACAAACTGGTCGAACATGGTGCCCACGTGGCGGGTGTGGGCCCCCAGGAGTGTCCGGACCAGCTCTTTCTGCTCGTCACTCAGCTGGATGGGTGCTCGCTGGGCCCGTCGTCGCTGGGCCTGCTTTGTTCGCCGCAGTGCGAGGGCTTCTGCCGACAGGATCACTGCGCCGGGGGTGGGGGTGGGGGGGAGACAGAAGACAGAGCCATTGAGACCAGCCCAGAGCCCCTCTCTCTGGGACCCCTCTGATACCCCGCACCATGAAGGATGTGGGGCAGGAGGGCTTGGCTCCCAGAGGCTCCAGGTAGTAGGGGATTCCTGGCCACTTTCCCCATCCTGTGAGGCACTGCAGCAGAACACAGCACCGCAGCGGAAAAAGGAAGGGTGGAGAGTAAAGCAGTCACAGTGAAGGGAGATACTTGGCTTCTGGGCGAACAGTGAAGAGGGAGGGCTCTTGACGCCTAAAACATCACCTTGTGTTTCCATAGCGCTATCATTTCAAGGGTGCTGAAGTTAAATCTCACTGGATGCAACAACCCTCTGGGTGGACGGGGCAGGTGTTGTTATCCATGTTTTTCAGAGACATATACGGGCTGACATTCCAGTGACAGATCCAAAGTCATAAAATATTTAAGTGATGGAGCTTGAGTTCAAACCATGATTTTTTGATTGCCACCGTTTCCCGTCCACTGCTCCATTTGGAAGAGTAGTGTGATGTCATGGAAAAAGCATGGGCTGGGGCGTCAGACAGAAGAGTTTGCATACAGAGGCTGTAACTTTTTAGCTGAGCGAACTCGGGGCACATGGGTGTCTGCGAGCCCCGGCGATATTATCAGTTGGGAGCATAGCTTAGTTGCCTGGCACAGGGAAGTGACAGCAAGTGATTATTTTAACAGTTATCAAGTACCTACGGAGTGACAGGGGCTATCTATACATGAGAGAAAGAAGAGAAAAGTCAAGCCATGTGAATATCTAGGGGAAGAGGATTCCTGGTGGAGGGAATGTCAAGTGCTAGTGCACAGGTCCTGAGGAGTGTGTTTGAGGGTGGCACTGTGTGGAGTGAATGTGGCTGTGATGGACCGAGCAAGGCCGAAAGAGTAGGAGGGAGAGTCTGGGAGGCTTTTTTGGGGAGCTAGCCCATGAGATCACGGACTGTAAGAGAGACAAGGAGCCATTGGGATTTTGAGTAGAGTAGCAACATCATCTGACTTGTTTCTCGAAGCCTACTCTTGTGTGGAGGCGATGCTGTGGGAACGAGGGCAAGGCAGAGAGACCTGGTCAATGGATGCTTGTGTTGGTAGGGGCCAACTCACTGTCCTTCTTCATGCCAGCATCTAGGCACTTCTGCAACCTGCAGGCTGGGCAGTGGCGTCTCTGGGCCTTGCTGACCTCACAGCTTCCAGCAAAGGGGCAGGTGAGAACGGTGCTCTTGGTGGCGGTTCGTCTGTGGGAGACAGAGACGCTTGGGAGGTCGGTCGGGGATGGCAATGACCAGGTGGCTATGTGAGGGTCAGAGATCACATGGTCTAAAAGGATCTATGGTGACTTAGGCTAATCTCAGCTGTGCCCAGGGGTCCCTGGGGTTGGGGGGGGGGGTTGGGTATATCACACCTCAAGCATTTCCATAGAGGAACAGGATCATGTAGGAAAGCCGAGGCTGGCACGACACTAACGTGGTGCTTGGCAGGTGGTTCAGAACCAGCACTTGCTAAGGGGTTGTATCCACAGGACAAACACGCGCCCTTCCCCCTATTATCTTATCACCTAGTTACGCAGTGTTGAGGTTGGCAAGATGTAGCATGCGAGCCGCGGAATAGTTAGGCTCAGGGATGCAGGAGGATTGTAGCTGGACAATCTCGGGCACACGCTGGGGCTTAAAGGCTTCCTGGTGGGTAGGTTGGGAGGTCGTTTCTGCTGGGAAGGAGGCTCTCACCTGAAGAAACCCTTGCAGCCTTCACAAGTCAGGGCATGGAAATGGTAGCCTGTGGCTCGGTCCCCGCACACCGCACAGTTCCTCGGCTCATCGTCCCCACTGGCCATGGCTTCAGATGTTGGAGTGGATGTGGGAAGGGTTAGAGGTCAGCTCTAGGTACCCTTGACCCCCTTCTTCCTCTTCTCCCCCTCCTATAGAGCCCCTTCCCTGCCCTGCCCTGGGCCCTCCCCTCTGCATTATCTGTGCTTTATTGCTTTTAGTCTCTGGTCCCCAGAAGATTTCCTACCTGCTACTCTTAGGCTAGTCACCTGCAGGGCACAGCATCTGGTATGGGACGCCTCTCCCCGAACTTCCACTCTGCTCCTTGGTCTCAGGTACTGCGAGTGTTTGGAGTTAGGGATGATGGCCCTCCATACCTGGAAAACAAGGAACTTCTGTTGTGGGTGGCCTCTTGTTGCCAGCGACTACCTAGATAGGGCACAGACTCTGGACCCAGGGCAAAGGCCTGGGTGGGAGGTTTTCCCAGCATGCCCAGGGTGCAGGTTGCTGGCAAATGGGAGGGACACTGGTGGAGGTAGGGACCCTCATGATTCACTGGAAGCTGCTTCTCATCAGACCCGTGGAGATATTCCTTACTACTGAGCTTCAGGCTAGATCAGAAAGCCTCCTCTGAATGTGGATCTTGCAAACTGGGAAGGGAGAGGGAGAGACAGAGCAAGCTTTCACGTGTAGTATGACCAGAGTAAAAGAGTAGCCATAACTGTTGCACAAGGCTCCCCAAATGAAAGTTCTTATTTTTTTTCTTTCCCCCAAACGAAAGTTCTTAAAAAGAAACAGATTGGGGCACCTGGGTGGCTCAGTGGTTGAGCGTCCGACTTGATCTCATGGTCTGTGTATTTGAGCCCTGTCGGGCTCTGTGCTGACAGCTCAGAGCCTGGAGCCTGCTTCGGATTCTGTGTCTCCCTCTCTCTCTGCCCTCCCACTTGTGCTCTGTCTGTCTCTCAAAAGTAAATAAATGTTTAAAAAATTAAAAACAAAGAGACCGGGGTCTAATTAAGAGTGTATGCAAAGAGCTAATGAGGTCCACGCTTCCTAACTAGGGAGGGCTGAGAATCAAATCAGAGTGGCCCCTAACAAATTAGAGGTAGTAGTTAGGATTGTTTTGAGGACTCTTGCACCAGATCTGGCTTCGTGGGCATGTGACCTTTGCAGTCACACAAGACCCTGGGCTCAGAGGAGCCTTGGGTTTGGCTTAATGCTCTGCCCTTGCTGTCTTGAAGTTCTTAATGATTTTTGAACAAGAGGATTTGGATTTCTGCTTTTTAGTGGGTCCTACAAATTATGGTCTTGGTCCCGTCTGGAGCCAAGATTGAGGACTTTTTTTTTTTAAATGTTTATTTATTTATTTGGGGTTGGGGAGAGCATGTGAGCAGAGGGAGGGATAGGGAGAGAGAGAATCCCAAGCAGGCTCCACGCTCAGCACAGAGCCTGATATAGGGCTCCATCTCATGAGTGTGAGATGAGGACCTAAGCTGACCTCAAGAGTCAGATGTTTAACCGACTAAGCCACCAGGTGCCTCAAGATGAAGGACTTCAAATTAATAAGTTTAAGAATCACAAGTAAGAGGGGTGCCTGGGTGGCTCAGTTGGTTAAGTGTCCGACTTCGGCTCAGGTCATGATCTCATGGCTCATGGGTTCGAGCCCCGCGTTGGGCTCTGTGCTGACAGCTCAGAGCCTGGAGCCTGTTTCCGATTCTGTGTCTCCCTTTCTCTCTGACTCTCCCTGCTCATGCTGTCTCTCTCTCTCAGAAATAAATAAAAGCAAATTATAAAAAATTAAAAAAAAAGGGGCGCCTGGGTGGCTTAGTCGGTTAAGCGTCCGACTTTTGCTTGGGTCACGATCTCGCGATTCGTGGGTTCGAGCCCCGCGTCGGGCTCTGTGCTGACTGCCAGCTCAGAGCCTGGAGCCTGTTTCAGAGTCTGTGTCTCCCTCTCTCTCTGACCCTCCCCTGCTCACGCTGTCTCTCTCTCTCTCCTAGAAATAAATAAAAATATTTAAAAAAATAAAAAATAAAAAAAAATTAAAAAAAAAATTAAAAAAAAAAAGAATCACAAGTAGGTGCCAGTTCCATCTCTGGGAACCTGCCCAGTCTCCGCCTTGAGTATATTTTTTACTTTAATAAACTGCTTTGTAAAAAATAAATAAATAAAAAAGAATCACAAGTAGGAGCCTTCACTGGAGTTGTCTAGTGCTCCATCAACATTGGAGAATATTTTCGCAGGTGTGAAGAGTGTATATATGTATACATATATATATACACACACACACATATACATATATAAGAATAAATATGTGTATATCCACATATTTATGGATATATACATTTAATCCCAAGATCTGTGAACAGAAGAAGGATTTCAAAAGCTCTCTGGATGTTTTTGGGATGGACAATATACTGGTTACGTCTATTTTGGATAAATCTGGTATCACGTGCACACTGGGTTGAAGTCCAAAGCTGAGTCTTCCAATCTGAAAGTTCCTCTCACTGCAGATTTCCCTGGGTGTTTGCTATTTCTTTACTTGTATGGTCTTCTCCCACTAGAAATAAGCATTTTCCTTTTTCTCTTTTCTTCTTCTTCTTCTTTTTTTTTTTTTTTTTGGTCATGTCTTCTTCAATTAAGCGTTCAATTACACTTTTTTTTTATATTTTTATTTCTAGGAGAGAGAGAGAGACAGCGTGAGCAGGGGAGGGTCAGAGAGAGAGGGAGTCACAGACTCTGAAACAAGCTCTAGGCTCTGAGCTGGCAGTCAGCGCAGAGCCTGACGCAGGGCTTGAACCCACGAACTGCGAGATCATGACCTAAGCGAAAGTCGGACGCTTAACCGACTAAGCCACCCAGGCACCCCAAGTGTTCAATTACACTTAATGTTGCTCTAAACGTGAGTTTGAAACCCTAGTGCACGTCAGAGTCATAAACACACGGAGAGACACAGAAGAGACGGAGCCTTGTGTGGCCCTCGGGGTGAATTGTACAAGCTCTTACATAGTGAAATAAGGAGAGTTCCCAAAAGCACAGGTGCTTCGATCCGGCTCTGGGGAGATGCTGTGCACACTTATGTGTATGCATCTGTTGGTATTTTCACCTGACTGTGACTGTGAGGATTCATACGAATTCACTTCATCAACAGATATTGACTGAGAACCTACTATGTTCACTAATTTTGAAGAGATAAATGAAGTGTTCTTCTGTCCTCATGGAATTTACATGTGCTTGTGAGGCAGACAGATCTCGCACAGATATAAAGAAATATAGTCACATCAATGGTGATGCTGTGCACAGAGCATATGGGACCACAGATGAGGGGCACCTAATCCGCTTTGGCAAAAAGGTGCAGAGGAGGGGGTGGGAAAGGTTTCCTGGAGACGTGACAACCGAGCTGATTGGGAAAGGGCACCGAGGAGCTACGTGAAAACAAAAGCAGTTCATGCAGAAGGCTCAGCCTGAGAAATTCATGAAGCCAGACACAAAAAAGTGGGTGTGGCTGAACCACAAATATGTCTGTCTTGCTGGAGCCTAACCTTTCAGATTGGGATTGGGAGGAGAGAATTCTGGAAAGGTGGGCTGGGAGGCTGGGATTTAGGCAGGGCCAGTTTGCAGGGGACCTCTTGTCGCCCAGACTAAGCAGCTTGAGTCCATCAGAAAGCTTTTCTTTCTTTTTTTTATTATTTATTTATGTATTTATGTATGTGTTTATTAATTATTTGAGAGAGAGTGAGAGGCAGAGGGAGAGAAAGAACCTTAGCAGGCTCCACACTCAGCGTGGAGCCCGACAAGGGGCTCAATCCCATGACCCTGTGACGGTGACTTGAGCTCAACCGATAATCAAGTGTCAGATGCTCCACCGACTGAGCCACCCATGTGCCCCAAGTCCATAAGAAAACTTGTAAAGGGGAATCTGCGAAATGACATGTGCAGACCTATTCTGGATCGATCTATCTTATTGTAAATATCTTTCTTTGCTGGCTGTTCGGAAGATGGATTTGAGGGGGCAGGACCTGTGGTCAAGTGACCAGTAAGACAGCTCTTGTTGTCCTGTAACTGGGAGAAGATTACGCCTGAGTTAGGATAGTGGGAAGATGTAGAGGAAGAGAGGATTTGGAGAAATACATGGAGGTGCAATCATTGGAACTTGGTGGCTACTAGAATATCTGCCCAGAGGAAGAGGATTTCAGCATGACTCCAGGTTTCTAGCACCAGTGATTACGTGGATGGCAGTGCCACCCACTGGGAAAGAGATGGCTGGAGATGACAGGACCCTGTGTACTGTGCCTGTATCCACTTCTACAGCTGGAAGCTATTAAGTTCCCACTCTGTGGTGACACTTTATTGGGACCGACAAAAGAAAAGGTCCCTATTACTGAGAAATGTATTATCTAATGATGGAGAGTGCCCGAATAAATTGAACTCCTACATCTTACAGGAAAGACTCAAACTCTAAATTGGGTGCTAAAAATTATATATAATAGGATAGGCATTCCTTGCTCCGTTAATTTATTCTTAGCGTTAACTCTACATGATAGATAATGTCACCATTTTATGGAAGAGAAAACTAAGCCTCAGAGAGTTTAAATAACTTATATGAGGATCAGTACACCCACCAGTTTATTAGATGTCTTCATATGGGTGTCACAGAGGCATCTCAACTTTGGTGGGTCTTAAAATGGAGCTTCTATGATACCTAAGGCACAGGCGACAAAATAAGAAATAAACAAGTAGGACTATGTCCAGCTAAAAAGCTTCTGCACAGCAAAGGAAACCATCACTAAAAGGAAAAGGCAGCCTACACAATGGGAGAAAACATTTGCAAAGAACACATCCAGTAAGGGGTTAATATCCAAAGTATTTCAGAAACTCGATAGAAAAAAATCCCAAATAATCCAATTAGAAATGAACAAAGGATCCAAATAGACATTTTCCCAAAGATCAAAGAAGATATTTATATGGCCAACAGGTACATGAAAAGGCACTCAGAATCACTGAGCAATAGGGAAATGCAAATCTAAACCACAATGAGGTATCACCTCACACCTGTCAGAAGGGCCATCATCAAGAAAGACAAGAGACAACAAGTGGTGTCAAGAATGTGAAGAAAAGGGAACCCTTGTGTGTGGGAATGTAAATTCACAGCCCCTATGGAAAACAGTATGGAGGTTCCTCAAAAAATTAAAAATAGAACTACCATATGAGCCAGCAATTCTATTTCTGGGTATATATTCCAAAGGAAACAAAATGACAGTCCTGAATACATCCATCCATCCATCCCTGTGTTCACTATAACACTATTTACCATAGCTAAGGCACAAAAACAACTTGTGTCTATCACTAGATAAATGGAAAATGATGTGAAAACACACACATTCTTTCACACACATACACACAGTGGAATAATA